ATATTCATTCTCGTTACCCCGGCCATAAATGCTCCTGCCGAAATCATGGCATATATTCCCATATCAACACAATACTTCGAATCGGGGTCACATGTCCAACCTAATATATAATTGAAATGATAAGCCAATCCCATGAAATCTTCAGGTGACCTTCCCGTAAATATTAAATTAATCCATTCGATAAGCATGGCAAATAATCTTCCATATAACGCACCGGCGACCATTGAAGGTACATAGATCCCACAAGGGACCTTTAAACCAAAGGTCACAAATGTAAGAATTATCTTCACCACTAGTGCAAATGTCAACGACCATAATTCTTTAACATATTGTTCGTATGATGTGGGACATAATGACATATCCAACTCCGCTGCTCCACAGGGAGTTGCTAATTCTAATACCAACTCAGCAGCCGCTTGTTTTGTATATGGGTTCCAAAATGTAATTAGACCAGTTAATAATGCAATACAAAACACTTCAAAACTTGGATGATTATGAATTATTTTATAAGTTCGGAATTTTTTAGGCCACCATTTAACAAATTTAACAAATGCTGCACCAAATATCCCCCCGGAAATACCAATCAAGATGAAAAATACCAATTCTATAGATTTCCAATCGGAAAAATATTCCAATTCGAAAAGAACCGTTTTCCCAGTTCCATAAGGATTAAGAAATTTAAGGAATAATGTGGATATAATTGCACAAAAGAAAATTTGAAATAATTGATTCGAAGGTAAATGATTATTAATTTCTTCTAAAATGAACAAAACCCCTCCTAATGGGGATCCAAATGCTAATGCAACACCAGCTGATGCACTAGCGGAAAGAATTTGTTTCTTAAGTAATTCATTATTATGTATGAATGGGAAAAATCTTGAAGCTATATTTCCAACACATGTAGCAAGATGTACATATGGTCCTTCTTTACCTAAAGACATACCTGATGCAATGGCAAAGATTAATGCAATAGTTTTGGCGATTAGGGTATATGTACCTAAAAACCGTCTAATAACAAACCCTGATAATATTGTTTTAACTTCTGGTACACCTGAACCAGTTGCTGTATACATGACCCGATGTTTTGTTGTTGGTTTTAATTCTTCATCTTCATTCACAGTTGATAATGTGGAAGGTGTCCCGTCTTTGGATTCATGCGACTCAGTAGTGTGGCCTTCGATTGATGTACTACTTTGAATGGATCCACCGGTAATTCTGGTAGTTAATGTGATAAAACATGCAGCTAGGGCCAATACAACACTCAAGACAACATAGATAGTAAAATCTAATCTAAAGCTCTCGAGCCAATGATCGTTAAACACGGTAGCCCAACTTATCCAATCCTCACAAGTAGCTTCATTTTCTCGATGAATATATCCCGATTTGAATGCATTAAATGCAATGGAATTAGATTCTATTTGATTTGCGCAACATACAACCTGACTAGCAAACCAATTACTCTTGCAATAACCTCGTTTAAACCCAACTAATAAAATCTCGATTTTATCAATCATAAATGCAATCAATGAAAATACGAACCCAATCAAGACGATCAAGACCCATTTCCCCAAAATAAAGTAAGCTTTCGTATAAAATGGAATCCGTCTCAGCAGGGCAAAATATGAAGAAGTATCATTTGACGATGAAAACGGTGATGATTGATCTTCATCAATCCAATAATTTCTCTTAATTTGATAATTTAATCTATTTGTCAGGACGAAAGCTTGTGTCCAATCTATGGTTGTAAAATCATTATAAAAATTCCGAACCGAATAAAAAGATCTAGGTACGATTTTTAATAATCGAGATGCAATTGATTTTTGAGTCTGATGGGTATGCAATGATGTCCGTTCACTAAGTTGTTCTTCTTCTCCTGATGCTTCTACTGTAGCTCCAAAATTCTGAGATGGTGTTAATAAAACGGAAAAATTGGGAACAATCGGAGATCTAATATCAATTTTACTTAATGATTTAAGTCTTGTAAGTGGGGGGATTGGCTCTCCTCCTCCATGATGTTCTAATCGGGGTGTGTTTGGAACAGTTACTGAATTTTTGTAGGGGGCACCACCACTAGTACGATTTTGGGAGTGGCTTGTTGTCGGTTGTAAATTTGATGACAGTTTAAATGTTCGATCTATTCTTTTTGGTGGGACTGTTGATTCTATACGAATATGCTGATTCTGATGCTGATGATGATCTCCCATTGTATCTCTTCTAGATATGGATCTTCCTCTACTGGATGACATATTCTAGAGATCTTGGAGAGAGAATCAGTGGTAAATTTATGTTGTATTTGGGAAGTAGTGGGAAATTGGTTGCAGAGAGATGCGTGGCAGTACGAAAAACTTCAATTTATTTATTTTTCTGTCAGTTACAATTATTACGTTTATTTTTTAGATCAACTTTTAACAACAAACCAGAAGTAAAGTTTCATAAAAGTATATGCATCATCGGTTGTTATTAACTAATTCAAGTATGATCATTGATATGTTTGAGTAACATGAAATTTGAAATCGCTGATCGTCAGGGCAAATAACTGTTTTCCCCTCCTTCCCCCCCTCCATCTAAATATAGAAACAAAACACAACATCCACAGTAAAGGTAACAACCAAACAATAGCAAGGTTGCAAACTGTCCATTAGAAATTTAAAAAGTTATTTAAAGTACCCAGTGTTATTAACTTTTTGTAGAAGAAAACGAGCTCCATCTTTTAAGTTTTAGTTTGATCGTTTGGACATTTGACGAGGCTTAAATTTGCGTCAATCATTTTCTGGGGAAAAGTGAAACTCAAAACAAAAGAACGATTTACCTTCTATTTATATCAACTGGAAAAAAATAGTTCAAAATGGTAGATGTGTCTAATGCTTTATCGACTATTAAACTACTTTATTAGATTCTCCTTGACAACCAATAAGTGTCTGACAAGAATAATTGTTAAAATAGAAGGGGAATATAAGAGAGTGTTCTGAACGAAGAAAAAAAAAATCTCGGTAACGATGATGTCATACTTCTCGACGCGTCAAATTTATTTCCCCCGCTTGGAAAAGAAACGAGACGATTCGGATTTATAGAATTTATGTCGCGAAATGGAATTTTTGACATGGAAGATCCCTATCTCGTCTAGAAAGTTACAGAAAGGTTCATAGAGAAGATTCTACAGATTTATAATTAATATAGACCTTATAAGGAATCCCGGGGGTAGAGGAAATTAAGAATCCCCCCCCCCCTGCTTCTGATGTTTCGAAAGCCTTGTAGATGACAACTACTATTGAATCAACAGTTGTGGCTTAAAACAAAGTGAATGAACTTGTGAAATCAACAAATTGTTTTCTCCTATTCAGAGAACGTTGATTTATTTTGCAACTGAACTGAAAAATGGCACCATCGTAAGAATATGTGGGATAGCAAAATTCGGTTCCGAAACTGGAAATGTAAATTCTCTTTTGTTCAATGGAATTTAACGGAAATGCAATTTGCCGAAACAAAAAAAAATATTGCCCAGGGTAAAGAAAAAAAAATAAAAACTGTTGAGCTTTTTCCAACAGGAAAATACCGGAAGTGAAAAATGAAATCAGTTCTCCACAAAATCAATTTTATAACTATTATCAAGGCATTACATATCTAAAGATTTAGTGATAAAGTATACATCACAACCAATCAGAATCCTATTGGTCCAAATTACTTTATCAGACTTGTAATAATTTAAGTTAACGGGCATATAATTTTTGGTACCTGTACACGACATAAGCTGAAACGAAAATAAACGACATTTAACAGTTGTCGGTTTTTCCGTCAAAGATGATGTCTGCTTTCCCCCCATTGTAAAAACAAAGAAGATTAGGAACAATACCGTGAAAAATTCCGATACCTGATCTAACCAATCTAGGAAACGCAATTTATAAGGTCTCGAACCCTTTGGGTTGTTGGGTTTGTAAGATCTTGATTAACGCATTATGAGTGGAATTTGGTAATTGGTGATTTAGTCAACGTTCTTTAACTGATAGGTCAAAAACCTTAATAAATTTTTCATTAATTAAACTTTTTTATAGAATAAAAATTAAACGACATTGCTTGGGATTTATAAATTTGATAAATTTTCTCCAACAAGAAAATTCATAACCATTTGTATGGCAAGACGACAACCATATCGCGTCTACCTTCATCTTGAGATCTTTAGCCTTTTGAAGGATAAAGATTGTAATAGTATAAGGGCTATTCATATTGATGTTACACAAATCACACCAGAAATCCCGGGGTAATAAGGAATCATAAATTAGACCCGATATAATAAGGTTAGATTGAAAAAAACATCCATTCTTCAATACACATTGTGGTGGATTAAATCCCCCACCAATTCAATTGTGTGTGTTAAAGATTATTAAAAAATAATTTTCGGAACGGAGTGCCATTTATTTTTTAGTAAACAAGTTTTTTTTTTATTTTTCAGTCTCTCTCTCTCTTGATCAAAAAAAGGTCTCACTTTAATAAATCAATTTTCCATATAAATATAATTGAAAATTTCTTTCAACTTAAAATTAAAGTCTTAAAATTTCTTCCTTCCTTTCTCTTTCTTTTCCTCTTTCTTGATTTATATCTATTGTCCCTTGTATAAAAATAAATAACCACAAATATGTCTGCCATTCAAAAAATCACAGTTAAGAACCCCATTGTTGAAATGGACGGTGATGAACAAACTAGAATCATTTGGAAATTCATTAAAGATAAATTAATCTTCCCTTACTTAGATATTGACTTAAAATACTATGATTTAGGTATTGAATATAGAGATGAAACTAACGATCAAGTTACTATTGATGCTGCTAATGCCATTTTAAAATATCAAGTTGGTGTTAAATGTGCCACCATTACTCCAGATGAAGCTAGAGTTGAAGAATTTGGTCTTAAAAAGATGTGGCTTTCTCCAAATGGTACTTTAAGAAACATTCTTGGTGGTACTGTTTTCAGAGAACCAATTGTTATTGATAACATTCCAAGAATTGTTCCAAATTGGGAAAAGCCAATCATTATTGGTAGACATGCTTTTGGTGATCAATATAAAGCAACTGATATTGTTGTTCCAAAAGCTGGGGAATTGAAATTAGTTTTCAAACCAGCTGATGGTAGTGAAATCCAAGAATACCCAGTTTATAACTTCAATGCTCCAGGTGTTGGTTTAGCCATGTACAATACTGATGAATCTATTACTGATTTTGCTGAAAGTTCATTCAAATTAGCCATTGACCGTAAATTGAATTTATTCTCTTCTACCAAGAACACCATCTTAAAGAAATATGACGGTAGATTTAAAGATATCTTTGAAGACTTATATGCTACCAAATATAAGAAGGAAATGGATGCCATTGGAATCTGGTACGAACATAGATTAATCGATGATATGGTTGCTCAAATGTTAAAATCCAAGGGTGGTTACATCATTGCCATGAAGAATTACGATGGTGATGTCCAATCTGATATTGTTGCCCAAGGTTTCGGTTCCTTAGGTTTAATGACCTCTGTTTTAATGACTCCAGATGGAAAAGCTTTCGAAGCCGAAGCTGCTCATGGTACTGTTACTAGACATTACAGACAACATCAACAAGGTAAAGAAACTTCTACCAACTCCATTGCATCTATTTTCGCTTGGACTAGAGGTTTAATTCAAAGAGGTAAATTAGATGAAACTCCGGAGGTTTCTAAATTTGCTGAAGAATTAGAAAAAGCTGTCATTGATACTGTTGCTAAGGATAACAAAATGACTAAGGATTTGGCTTTAGCTCAAGGTAAGACTGATAGATCTTCATATGTTACTACTGAAGAATTCATTGACTATGTTGCCGAAAGATTAAACAAGAACTTGGGTTATTAAACTACCTAATTGTTAAATAGTTTCATATATTTATTTTCTTATTTATTTAAAAAGTCAAAAGCAGATAATTATAAACCTTATCAAATAGAAATTTATAAATCGAATTAAATTGGTTATAGCTCTCTACCTATGTCGCAATATTTGATATTTGTCGTAAACTCTGAGGAAACTGCGTCAGCTTTCCTTTCCTAAAAATAAAATAAAATCCGTTCACTCTCCAAAGAAAAAAACATAAAATTTTTGTAATTTTTCAATCACGTACAGTTCAACTTCAAAGCCAAAGCCAAAAATATCAACAATGAATGTTGGATCAATCCTAAATAATGATTCTCCACCTACGGACAATGAAGCAGAAGAATTGTCTTCATCCGGAATTTCTTCAACCCCAACAACCTCTGCTCTACCTTTACATATTTCATCAACCAGGTCATCAATTTCTGGTCCATCGTCAGGTACTAGACCATCAGTACCATCAGTACATGAAAGACATTCAATTACAAATATGTTAAATGATGCACCTACGACTGCTACCAGTGGACCTATTGGACCTGCTGCTCACAATGCTGAATCTGAGGGTATCCAATTTAGAAAACCTAGTATAAAAGATTCACCTCCAACTGTTCATCATGCACCCCCAACTCTTAAAAGAAATTCAATTGCCGATATAACGAATGAGACAGATGTTGATATATCGACAGGTGAACCTATAAAGCCAGAGGAGAATGAAAGTAAAAATAATGAAAGTATACAAAGTTCCGAACAGTCGAAAGAACAATCAAAACTGCCAAAAACACAAGAATCAAAACCGAAACCGAAGGAAGAACAACAGGATAATATCGCCGAAGATGATGAAGATGAATTACAAAAACTTAGAAAAGCATTACTTTCCAAAAAACCAAAACGATATGAAACCCCTCCAATATGGGCCCAACGTTGGATCCCACCCAATCAACAAGGTGACAAATCCTCCATGGATCAAGAAATGATGGCTCCACATAATGGTGGTGGTGCCGGTGGTGCTGGCGGTCACATACAACCACAAACCAGACTTTCAGATAAACATATTTTCGACTATACAACTACCCGAAGTGTTGATTTACAATGTAGTATAACTGGTGTGATCCCCCCAGCATCATTAACTCGTACGATTGCCGAATGGATATTTGCCAATTTTTCAAATATTGAAGATCGAAATCGAAAATATGTAGAATTGGAATTAAAATTTGGAAAAATAGTAGATAAACGGACAGGAAATCGGATTAATGTGAATGTTATTACTGAATGCATATTCACGGATCATTCTAATATCCATTATGATATGGAGGTTGAAGAATTGGCTTGGAATGATGTGAGGAAATTCTTTGAGGAATTGGAGAAGACCTACCAAGATGAACGGAAAGATAAACCAGCGGGGAAAAGGAAGTTTAATATGTTGGATTCAGATGCTACTGATTCATTCTATCAACTTGGTGGAAAGGGGGAACATATTAGGAAAGTAAGAGTGTCTAAAGATAATCTATTAGATCCTCCAAGATATATCGCTATTGAAAAGGAAAGAATCTCAGATTTATACATTCATAACCCATCATCAATGTATGATCTTAGATTATCACTCTCGTTGGAAATACCAGTGCCTGAAAGTAATATTGAACCCATCATCTCAAAAAACAAACCAGTATTAGTACGAGAGAAGAAAAGAACCACTTGGACCCATGCTCCCACAATCACACAATTTGATCTCACAAGGGTATTAATCCCTCGAGAAGCCAAGAATAAACATGGAAAAAAGATTGTAAGCCATGATATTAAGTATGAAATAGAATTGGAAATTGATACTTTGGAAGTCTTTAATGCTATTGATAAGATAACTCAAGGAACTGATAATTTTAGACTTGAAGAATTGGTGGAAGTGTTTATTAATAATGCTAGGGTGATTAATAATAGAGTTACTAAGCTTGCCCTTCCTTAGTAAGTAACTTTGGTGTCTTTACTATTGTATATTAAATTAATTCTGTATTTCAAATCAAAATAATAATCAATGTATGTTAGATATCTGTATCACACCACAAAGTATAGACAGTAAATCTGCCTGTGAAGTCTTAAGTTTCTCGAGAAAACAGGGAATATCAATGAAATGAGGAGCGAGAGACCGTGAAATCTCTACACGCTCCCGAGGCGAACTTGTAGATCATTTACGAAGAGAACTACGTGTCATTAGGGACTTGGAAATCGTATTCTTCCGTCGGCCACGCCGTAGAGAACTTTCCATCCCCACATTTGAAAAATGCAAATAAAAAAATACGAAAGGCTGGACTCACTTTATATATGGGGCTTAGAATACTGATACGGAGGGAGGGAGATTTGTTGGCTCTTTGTTTCTATAGTTAAGGGGTTGAGAGTGGTAGCAAGCATATGGAGGAGGGAGGGATGGGAGTTTGATTGCGAATCATGAATAAGACAATAGCTTCAGGGTCTAGAATATTATTATTCTATTACGGAAATGTGATGTTCAACTCCGTTTCAAAACTATCTGCGATTCTCCATTTTTATTATTTTTAAATGATTTCTTATTTTTCATTGTACGATATTTTTCCATTCAAAGAAGAAGGGACTGTTAAAAGAAACGACTGGCTTATTGTTCACAATGGTTATTGTTCATCACTCTTTGTAATTGGACACGTCATGTTTGAATCATAAAATGCATGAGGTTGCAATCATTTGTTTCATACTGCCTAT